GTTGCGTGATGCAGGATGATCGTGATTCCTGTTATATTCCGAGTATCGTTTTTCTGAAATTTTGTAGCTATTAATAATATGAGGGGATGAAATTGTTAATAACGATTTATTTATTATTGTTAAGATACTTAGCAGCGGTAGAGGAAATGAAATTTTGTTAATTGATAAAAATTTGGTTTATCGAATTACAAGCAATTTTGATTTTTCTTGTGTTTAATCTTCGATCATTGAATTATTAATTATTGTATTGTAGAAATGTAATTTCAGAGAATCTTTCAGAGAAACGTTTTTTAATTAACTATTTCTTTCTTTCATTTTTCTTTATTCGCGTAACAAATTTTGTTAGGTAATATTATAGTAATGTTTAAATAGGTTTATTTTCAAAAAATTAATAAAGATAAAGAGGTAATTTTAATTTGGATTATCGTGTTTATAAGTCTTGTAAATTATTTTAATTATATCATTTAATAATTTCGTTAAATATAAAAAAAAATTATATAGCTCCTATCCTATTATCTATTAACCGGTTTATTCTATCATTATTATCTTCATTTTTTCCTTATGCTATACCTATCTTCTGCATCAGAGTAATTTGATCGATATCCCATAACAGTACTTCTACTATCATCTATTACCTTACCATTTTATTACCATTATAAATTAGAAATAAACTCGGAGGAAAATTACAATATTCCTGGAGAATTGACTTATTATCGTAAAATTAATTATACGAAAAAATAATTTTAACAATTTTCCACACGATTTCTCGCAGATTTCTAGTTTATTTCAAAGATCAAACCTATTTTTTTTTTACATATTAAATTGTTCGATATTTTAAAAAATGTTGAAAAATAATAAAAGCTTGAATTGTAAATTTTATGTTGCTAAACTTAAAGAGTTGTTTGTCTCGCGATCAAAGTATTTTTATTATCGAGACTTCCAGCCTCTCAACGATTGCACAAGAGTCTATAAGGTCCTGATCTCTCGTTCCCAATAAAGATTGACTTATCGTGAGGTTGTGTCACGACACGCCCAGTCAGTGACCTTGACGAATTTACAGCTTCTGGGTCCAGTTTCTCTCGAACATGTGGTGACTAACGTTTCTGCGTAGCCAACATGCAACAGGGTGACACTTTCCAAACGAAGAATATATATTCACAGCCTTTCGATTATTATTTTTTTTTGGCCTAGTTTTTCTCTTTTCTTCTCTTCTTTAATTATTTTCATTTTAATTTATCTTCCTTCAAGAATAAAATTCCATCCTATATATATATATATGTATAAATTATAAATTCTATGTTATTTTATGAAAAGCAACCGATCAACGTTATCAATTTCTATATCTTCTAATTTTTCAAGCAATTAACAATTTCCTCGTAACAATAACACTCTTTGTTCCTCTATCCATGAATATTTTTCCACTTATTCATATAGTCAGAACTTGATCTTTTATAATTCAGCCTTGGTCTCGCTAATTATCGAAGAAATAAAAAAAATAATCGAAGCTTACCATTCAATAGATTCACGACCCTGAAAATGAACGATCCTTCGATCGTTAATTAGACGATAAAACTTTATCTCACTTATTTAACGTTATTTAACGTTAAAGAATGTCGTAAAGACTAGATATATTATACAATTATATAGGGAAAAGATAGAATAAGATAAAAATTAAAATAACAAATTATATTTTCCTTGAAATCGAATTTTAAAAAAAGATTGCAAAATTGATAGAATTAAAAGTAAAAAGATATAAAAATGAAAAGAATATATATTGTCGTCGATATATCTACCTTTCATAAGAAACTAAAAAAAGAAAAATAGACAATACATATGCAATACACATTCACTTTAGGAAGCAATGAGTTAAGGTAATCAGCTTTCGTGACAAGCTTGCTCGATCGATTTCCTCGTATCGATTCCAAGTTATGCCCAAATGGAAACACGCGCCAAAAGATTTCTCTCTATTTCAAAATTCGATCTGGAACTATCGAAAATTGATTATTTATAGATATTTTTTTCCCTCCCCTCTTTTTTTCTCTTATTTCTAAATAACGAGCCATTTCGCTGTTCTGTCACTTTCCGATAAAAAAAAAGTATTTTTTTTTTTTATTCAGATCGCAAGGACAGATAGTTTATTAAAAGATACGCGTGGTGTACATGCGAAAGATCGTGACACTTTCTCTTGCACGCGATATCTCATTCATCGAAACGCCTCGACGATTGTCGTTTTCTTAATCCAATCGGCCAAGAAGGACACAGATTCTTTTTCTCTGGTAATTCGATTTCGTTTAGAAACGCTTCGTTGCTTGAAATTTTCCATTAGATTCGCGATAAAATCTATACTTGGATACTAGAGGTTTCAATCCTCTGTTGTTTCCGTTTAATAAAATTTGTGATCGAACGAGGAAAGAGATGACTTTTGAGAGAATTTTTAAGACAAGATTTCCAAAAAAAAATTAATATTTCATTAAACGATATATGGAGACGAAACAATTGATAAATCGTATTTTCTAATTTTTAGCTTTAAAATAATTTCAAACTTGGATCCGTTTCAATTATTTCTTTTATAGAGAACACCTATAATTAAAATAGATTATACTTTGGAAACTGAATTTTTCATGTTTCCAACTTAGAAGATGCATCAAAGTTGTATTCAACAGCTATTTAAAAAGCTATTTAAAAGAAAAAAAAAGAAAAAATAGAAGATCCATAAAAATTTATCAAGTTTCTCTGCTTCAGGAAGTTTTCAAATGCAAATATTCAACAATTCTTTGTCATCATTAACACATTCATAAAAAAAAAAAATAGAAGATGAAAAAAAATAATTAAGAAAAAATCCTTTGTCTTTCTCCTAAGAGGTATTTTCATGTTTCTCAGTTCTTTGAATGCTCTTCTCTTCCTGCATCCACCAGCAGTTAAGATAATTCCTATCAAAGAAAACATATTTTCCTCTAATCAATTTTTCTCTCTCTCTCAAATTTTTCCCAAACAGACATTCCTTCCCATAGGAAGACAAAAATTAATCAATTTGTCCATTAGCCGCGTGCGTGTTAACACGTCGTCAGACAAAGCTTCTCCAAGCCCTGGAACTTAAGTTGGACTAGCGTTGGGCTAGACGAAAGAGCATCGACGTGTTCTGCTGAGCTGGTGCTGGGCGATGGCCAGGTAGAGGGAGGTGCAAAAGGTGAAAAACAGTTTGCCATCAGCATAACCGGTTCCACGTATCCCGAGCCTGCGCGTCTCACTGTTTCTCAGCAGAGGCTGGATGACGACGATTCGGCCGGCAGAGGAGTCTCTTCCCGATCATAATCGGTATCCATCCGCTACCGGTTACGATATCGTTAATGCGCTAGCTTTTACGATATTCGTAGCCATTACTCGTAAAATCGATCGAATTCCAAAGTTTACTTCACTTGAGATATTCGTTGAGATATGGTGGTGAATAGAGAGAAGTTTGAAGGAAAAAAAAAAAAAAGAGAAAAAGAAAGACTCTTGAATAGAATAATTTCGATAATTTTCCTTGATCTGAGAGAAATATCGTGTGATTATTACGACGAGAAGAGAATTTTTGAAAAGATGAAAAAGGAAAAAAGAAATTTCCTTTTGTTCAAGGTATTCTTTAGATTTGTTTTTTAATTGTCGTGTGTGAAATTTTATTGTATGTTGCTCTTATCCTCCGAGGTTACCGACCTCTGTTTTATAATCTATAGCGAAAACAATTGAGAATGGTTGGTCGAAAGAACTTAAGATGTAAGTTCTTTTGATACAATAGCTGTGGAGAAAAAAGATAAAGTATAGTTTTAGTTGCAGATTCACAGTATATAAGTTGTAGAATATGAAAGAAATTTTTATCAGGATAGGCCAGTTTGAATAGAAACACGTGAAAAGATATATATATATATATCAACCATTGTTAGACTTGATTCTTCAACTAAGGATTTTCCAATATTGTCCATACTATTCAATATTGTGTGGCTACTGTGATTTCTTTATCTTAACTGCGTTTTATTTGTATTTACAAAGATGTTGTATGTCGAAGCATGTAATGATATATCGATTATAAATTCGGTCATATCATATTATATTTCTTTTATCGAGAGTATTCTTATTAAAAAGATTTTGATACAATTTGTTATCTGTTAATCTTAATAATTTATATTCTTTATACATTTGAGTCATGAATGATTGATTATTATTTACTTACTAGATTTTTACTTCATAATTTATTGAGAAAGAGGAAAAAGGATAGTTTAAACAAATATTATGAAGTTTTATGCCTTATTTAATTGTCCTAACTGGTTCAAATTATTTCTATATCTATATATAATATAAACTGTTTCAAATAAAATTTCAATCAATTAATAATAAATTATATACATAAACAGAAACACAAATATGCATAAGAAAAAATGAAAAGTACAAACAGTACAAGAATAATAAAAAATATCCCCCTTTATTTCTTCTTGATTATTCACCTTTTGTCATTCCAATCATACCTCATCGCTTACACCGAGAGTTTATAAATAAAAAAACGAATAAAAGCTAACACGATTAAATGTGAAAGCTACCGCAACAAGTTCTTGATACCTTGACACGGTCGACTCGTTTCAGATAAGCTTTCCATCAACACGCTTTACTCCCCTTATCCGCAAACCAATTTGTTTTTCGCTTTTTGTATAAAATTATAAAATAATCAGACGGAAAACTTATTGCCATTCCATACATGAAAGGCCAAGGATAATAAAAATAAAAACCAGAATCATAATCGAATGGAATTCATATGTTGGAAATATAATCTTGTCGTATGACCTTTAATTCTTTATGTAGTTCATGGTAATATCGTTTTGGATGAACGATTTCACGTGTAATAAAGTCTAATCTTAGTGATCGTACAGGAAAAGATTTTCCTCGATGGACGAGCAATTATGTTGAAGATCATAGACATCAATGAGATGGGAGCAATAATAAAAGGAACTTTCGTTCGTGTCTTCTTGTTTCTTTCTTGTTTTACGACTTGTCAGAAGGAAGATCGTCGATTACGATCCTCCAGTTTCGCCGGTTGCATCAAACGTCGGGAAAATGCTTCCGGTTATTATCGACTTCCTTCCACATGAAAAGATACGATTGCTCGTGAAAGATATTCCAAGAATTATTCCATAATTTTTTAATCTTGATTTCCTTTAAGATTGAGACTTCTTTTACATTATAGATTTTCAATTGTACAAATTTATTAATGATTTAATTTTTTTTTAGTTTTTTAGAGTTTAATTTTTTAAGCTTTAATATTGTTTTGAAGCTTATCATCTCATTTGAAATTAATTAATCCCTCAAAATTATATTTCCCTCACTATTGTATATTTTCTCTTTTGTTTCTTTGTTATTATACATAATCATATATAATAATCAATTAAAAAGGAATTTAATAATCATTTGAATAAGATATATGATAATTTTGCTCAATTTTCATATAATAGTAATATAGAAATAGAAAAATACTTTTTTTTAACAATTATAAATAATTTTGTTTCAGACGCAGCATCGTTGTACATCCGCGTGAGTGGAGTTGGATCTACAAAAGCAGCGTGTCCCGATCGATACGCAGCTAGTCGATCAGTATGATGTTGCAGAACTGTAGCGGCGGTGGATCCAGATGCGCCAGACGCGCTCTGATATTCGTGTTCGCCTGGGGTCTGGTAATGATCGCAGCTGTACAATTCCGTCACGTGGAGAACAATCTTAGAGAGACACCAACGGCTGAGGATTCCACTAACGAATTGCTGATCGACGATATCTACAGTCGACATGAAACACTGAACAATCATGGATCTTCGAGTCTTGGTTTATCCAGATACTTGTTGCAGAGATCCTCAGCAGACTCCAGTTTCTCGAATTCTGGTGGTTCAAGTCTTCTAACCACTTTGACCACTATATCCAACAATTCGACCAGAAATCCTTTAGATTTAGAGCCACTATTAGACAAAAGACCTGCGAAAACAGAGGAAGAATTAATTCAAGAAATAGAACAGAGATTACCTAGTCTTCCTTTATCTTACTGGAATAAAAATAGCAAATATTCTGGTAATCAGGGCAAGATTAAAGGCAATAATAGTTGTTCCAATTTAAAATATCCCTCCATCTATGATATAGAATTCAATAATGTTTACTGGCAAACAATGAGAACCAGTAATGGTACCTTTCAATTATTTGGTGCTTTTTATGACCATAGAAAATTGTCTAGAATAGGTCCAGCAATTAGAATTGTTGGAATGATTGACAGAATTGAACCTATTGTAAAAACTCACTGTCAATTATGGTATGATGGGGAAAGGGAACCCAAGATTGTTGAAACTTTAGAATACAAATATATTTGGTATCCTAAATGGGGCAACTATAAACAGGGAATTTATCAGCCTTATGTAATTGCTTGTAAAATCCCACAAACTCATTGGTTGAAGGGACCCCCAGCCTCAGTTTCTATGGTAGAAAAGCCATGTGAAACTCCCAGCAATAATCTTAGAGTGATATACAATAAGCCTGAATATAAAAAAGATTTTGCTGTTTGTGTAAAAGGATTAGATTTTCTTCATGAAGATCTATCTGTCAGATTGGTTGAATGGATAGAGTTAATTACTCTATTAGGTGCAGACAAAATCTTCTTCTACCAGTTACAGGTTCATCCTAATGTGACCAAAATTCTGGATTATTATCAGAAACTAGGTAAAGTTCATGTTACTCCATTAACTCTTCCTGGTGGACAACCTAATGTGCCTGCCTTCCAACATATGTATCTGACTAAAAAGACCAATCATAAGAGACAGAATGAATTGATTCCTTATAATGATTGTTTATATAAACATATGTATGAATATGAATATATTGCTCTGTTGGATGTGGATGAAGTAATAATGCCAGTGAAAGATGGTACATGGCAGAATTTGATGAAAAGAGTATTGACAAAAGCATTTAAGATTAGAAATGAGACAAGAGCCTCATATAATGTGAGAAACGTATATTTCCTAGATGATTTGCTGCATTCTCATGGATACTTCAAAAATATACCAAAGTAAGTATTAATATAAAGTATTAATATAAAGTATTTTCATACTTGGAAAAATATTTATAGTAGAAACATTAGTAAGTAAACATAAGTAAAAATTAAATTAATGAAAGTTTTTTGAAACAATTGTATTTAGATATTTTTATAATTTCTTCTATTATTAAAAATTTTAGCAAATTTTAATGCAATTGAACGGAGTTTGAAAATTGAGAAAATTCTGTAATAAAAATTTTGTAATATTTGAGAATTTAAATTGATTTATAAATTCAAATTCTTAAAAGTTAAAAAATTTAAAGAACAAGGAATTTAAAAGTGAATCATAATATGATGTTTGGGAATTCAAAAGTTTTAAAATTCAAATATTTCAAAAATTTAAAAATTCTAAAAATGAATTTCAGAAAAAATATAATTTTAAACTTCTCACTTAAAATTTTTTATATTTTCACAGGTATATGCACATGTTGCAGCATGTTTATCGCTCGAAGAACTTTACCAAACCTAATCAATATATCAAGTGCTTCCACAATCCGGAAAGGGTGGTAACCTTGCATAATCACTTTCCTTTAGCTTGTTTGGGCGCTGGATGCACCAGTTATCCTATAGAGACTGAAGATGCTCAACTTCAGCATTATCGGGCCGATTGCGTGAAATCGTTGAGAAAAACTTGCGTCGAGTATCGAGAAAACAGCGTGTTGGATACTACGATATGGCGATACAGAGACCAATTAATCGAAAGGGTTACCAGGACATTGGAAACTCTTGGTTTTTTTGGACCAAGCTAGCGCAAACAAGATAGAACGAGTCTCTGTGCTATTGACGACGAAGCTTGAAATCGTTTAGAATCATTTCCTTCGTTCGTCTCGTTTCCTTTTTCATTGAAGTTTTTCAAGTTTGCTACTTGAATGGTCGTTGGAAAGCGTTTGCTTCGTGGATAAGGATTTTTATAAAATTGAATATCTTTTTTTTTTTTTTTCTACTATATTTTCTAAAACCAAGGATCTATGCCAAAAATTTATTCTAAAAATAATCTTTCTATAAAAGTATTATATTTTTTTTTTATAATAATGATATTTTGCAGTTTCTTAAAAATTATACAACATATATTTTGATTTTACAACTAATGAAGTATAAATGGAGATCCTTGAATGGAAAGCGCGAAGCATTCATTCGTTGACCAACACATTCGAGGACGAAATGGCTGTGTAATCGGATGGAATATACGACAATGATTAGAATAAAGCGTAGAATAAGGATAGCGTTAACGATTTTTCAATTTGTGCCACTAGATGAAGAAACGTATTCGCGAATTGTAAATTGAATGCTGTCTTTGCTCAACGCCCTTCGAGATAATCGCGATATCAATCGATTCTTGAGTTAATTATTCTTTGAATGCATTCGATATATTTCTTATAAAATCGAATATCATCGAATGCATATAGAAGATACCTGTACTCGAGCAATCGAAACAAATTCGTTTCAAACTAAACTAAAGGCACAAAATAAAATATTTTATTTTGAGTGATCATGTTCATACAAATAATCTAATTTTATCAAAAAATTAGTATTTATATTACATTTATCTGTAATGTATTGTATATCATTAAATTATACTATTGACATATTTGGAAATGTTCGAATATTAAATTTGATTAATTCGAATATTTTAAACTGAAAAAACATGATCAAAAAGTATGAATATTTTTTATGAAAATTAAATTAAAATTAAAATTATTAAAGCAGCATTTTAGTGTCACAAAAAAATTAATTATTTTTGATTATTGATAAATATTGTTGATTTTGATTTGAATACTTTTAAATAATCGAAATTTATTTTAACAAATGAAAATTTTTCAAATGTATCAACTGAATTAGCGAATATCTCGAGTGAATCGAAAATATAATAGGAATTTGAAAGTTTGATTTATTTAAAAAATTTAAAAACCGAAAACAAACAATTATTTTAAAAAATTTTTTGTATTATATATCTCGAATTTCAGGAAAAAGAATGATTAAAAAGAATGGAATATAATCAAAAGCGAGATTTAATAATCTGGCTTTTTCTATTTATCACTTTTAATGAAATTCGATAAAAGATAGTGAAAAAGTAATTATTTCTATTGTTTCTAAACGATTTGTGTGAAGCTTCTTTATGTTTTTAATTGTACCTTAATTTAGCCATTTATCGATTCTGTATCGAATAATTCGAGTATTTTATATCGATTGATCGAATATAAATATACACTCGTAAAAATAGAAATAGGTTAGGAAAAATGTTACATTTCATTCTAAAAGAAAGAAAAAATGGATAGAATGATACAGGATATCGTTTCTTGCTATCGATCATATGACAGGAAAATGCATTTATCGATAGGCGTCGACGCTATTTAAACGAGTTGCACAATCGTATGACATTAGTATTAATTAGGTTATTATCCTATCTGAAGACTAGGACTTGCAGTATCCGTAGTTCGCGTACGTTTTATCTTTTTCTTTTTTTTCTTTTTTTTCTTTTTCTTTGTTTCCTCGCATTAAACGGAAATTCTCTGTAAAGAGAGATTCATTGTGATTTTTGTCAAACAATGATGGGAAGAAAGCTAAGTATGGGCATAAATTGGAAATTAAAGTAAAAGTAAATTGAAAAATGATATCGATTGTTAATTCGAAATCATTATTTTAAATTTTTTAATAGTTTTATAGGATTCTTTATATAAAGGATATTTCAAAATAAGTCTTTTATATTTCTTATTTATTATGTTTTTATTACAATTTTTCTAAATAGTCCCTTTATTTTATCATAACAATATTAATTGAAACAAAATTTTTAAGTTTATAAAAAATAGTTTTTATAATATAATTTTTTAAAAGATAAAATTTTATGAATAAAAAAATAAGAAATAATACTTATTTTGAAATATCTCGTACGCAATATCGAATCGCCTCTAGAAAGCTTCATTTTTGATGCGCAACACAAAGCATGGTCTCGAATTCACGATTGATACTGTAATTCGAGTTTATTGTAAGCTAATGATCGTAATTCTTGTTGAATAGCGTTTCTTGCGCGTTTCAATGGGATGTAACGAAAGCCCCTTGTTCCAGGGATATACAAATATATTGGATTGTGAAATAATATGTCGATTTTAAATTTAGTCACGTAAAAAGAAGACAACATAAAATAAATTGTCTGGTTAAAGGATTTTCAAAAAATTGCGTTTTACCATCTTTATTCTTTGTTACGATCGAATGTTGTTTTATGCAATCGGAAAGTGTTGGATGTCAAAAGTAAGAAAAAATTTAAAAATCAATTTAAAAAATTGTTTAAATCATGTTTCATCGAAGATTTTCATGAGTTCCACAAAAGAACAAAATGATATATATCCATGGAACGATCGAATGCTTTCTTCCCTTGTGTGTTTGCTTTGTAACTTCAAACAGGCTATATAGATTCATTTTCTCTTCTTTTTATATGGTGAACCTCGATCGCTTTCTATGCGATATGATCGTTTTCTTTCTTTTTCTTTTGTGCTATTAAATGAGAGCGCGATTGACGTTACACCATAAATTAACTCATAAATATTATTATTATTATTTCTATTCCTATTATTATTAATATTAATGTTTACATATATATATATATATACATATATATATATATATGTATATGTATATATATATATATATATATAATAGATTCATTTAATATTTTCCAAGAAATATGTATTTATATTCATATATATACAAACATTTGAATATAATTATCTAAATCGGCGTTAACCTATCCAAATTAATTTTTTATCACGCAATGCGATCACAATGATCAGACAAATGACAATTTCTTCATTTAATCTATTATTTTCATTCGGCTTTGTGGTATTTTTTATAACTAGTAGGTATTTTTGATTAGTCTGGTGATTTGGATCGTTTTGGTGATTTTTGTCTTTTTAATATGGCGAAATCGTGTATCAAAGTGCCTAAAATCATTGATCGCGAATGTAATCTATGTGATCTACAGCTCAGTCTTGACGATCGACCTCTCGTTTTTTATGTAAATACACAGAAGAGTCGGTTGGGATAATAATAAGCTATTACAGATATACATGTATTTTTTATTTTTCGTACTCTTTTAAATGAACTTTTAACTAATAAAAGAAGAAAGATAAGGTTAGATAAATAGTTTCATAAGTAAGTGATTAGATTGATTTAATTTTGTTTTCTTATATATTATTTCCTTATAATTACTATTAATATTTTAATTCAATGATGTGGATATGATTAGAAAAAAAAATTCAAATAATCAAATATTCTCTAATATTTATAAAAAGAGTTTTTGAACATTTCTAATTATATTTAAAAAAGTTCACTTATTTTAATAATAAAAGTTAATAATTATTAATATATTAATAAAATCCTTATATGTTAATATTAAATTATAAATCGTATATTACATCAATGAATTATACAAATAATAAATTATTAATGAAATATTGAAAATTATATTTTTTTAAATATTTTATTAGGTAATTGAATATTTTAAATATTTTATTTAAATATTATTTTAATATAATAATCTATTTCACAAATACATTAATAAAAATTTCATTAAAAAAAGAAATATTCAGATCGGAGCTGTTTTTTTAAATGTATAAGACAAGGAAGTCAAATATTTGAAAAAGGATGGAGATAGAATAAAAGTGTTAGCATCAACGCCATCTTCAGAGTGCCGCAAATGAAACTCGTAAAGAACTAATAGATAAGGAAAACAAGCTTTAGAAAAGGATAAAAATAGAGTACAATTGATCGTTGGCGCCATCTCTGAAATATAAAAGATATTAATTGTAAATAGGATAAAGTAGAGAAGGAATTGAATATCATCGCCATCTTTTAGTAGTTTTCGAAGATACATTTAGCATTTAAAAGATGGCACTAGTAGTCAATTCTTATCTCTATCTTTATTTTTCTCTTATTATTTGTTCTCTTTGTTTATTTTCATGTTTAATTTACGGCACTCTGGAGATGGCGCTGATTTCCAAATTTTTATCCTATTTCTGTCCTTTTTCTATTATTTGCTCTTCTTGTTTATCTATATGTTCTCCAAATATAAATAATAGTAATTTTTACCATATCTGTAAAATTTTATTTATAATAAATTTCTTTTCTATTTTTTTATTTTTATCTATTTAGATATCATTTATATTAAATTCTTTTTTTATGATTTAATCTCTTCTAATTTATTAAACATTGTGTTAAAGTGATTTTAAAAATTTACTTTTGTTGAAATCTTTGCAGATAATTATTAATCCACAGTTTTTCTTGTGCTAAAACTTAATAATCATTTTTCATACATTTTTTTTTGAAAACTATTCATTATCTTGAAAATAATACAAAAATTGTTTCTTGAAAAACGATATCAAGTTAAAAAGTATGCAGTGCTAATTTAAATTAAGCAAAATTTTTTTTGATCATTTAGACTTTAGATCTTCATTTTATTTATATCCGTTGTGGAATATTATGAAATATTATTGTGGAATATTATGAATATTATGGAATATTATCATGGAATATCACAGGACATCATGATATGTGTATAAAAATACAAGTTTCTTAATTTAAAAATCAAAATTTCAATTTTTTTACTTTGTTCTTTTTTTTTAAAAAAAGATAACCGTATTAACTTTTTTATTTCTTATTTTTTTAGGTAATTATGTAGTCATACATTTTATAAAATGTTTTCCTGATTATTTAAATCCAATTCAAGTTATTATTGAATAATCTTTATGTTACAATTAATCATCAAGCTGACGTACTTCTTCCGGTAACCAATCGAGCATTCTGGTCGATTGATAGGTTTGTTGATGAGAGTTTCAACCTGTAAGTAAAACTAGATTGCAGATATCATGTTATATTATATTTATATAAATTTTTATTCATTTTTTTATACACAATATTAAATTATTTGAATTATAATATATACAAGAATTATTTTAGAATTATTTTAGAAAGTTGAAAAATTTTTATATAAAAATTTAGTTCAATTTTTATATAAATAACTCAAATTTTTATTTCGTCCTCAATATTTCACCTTTTTATATTTCGGTTGATAACATTGTTGGTGAAAGTATACAATTTGTTCCACGATAACATGGCGTTAGAATTATGTTGTTCTATTATGCTTACCTACCTCGAATCCTAGATAAAATGAGCGAAGTTTCGATGCGCTTGGCAAGATTATATTACGATACACTTCGTTTCACAGATGGTCTACTTTTGAGAGCGGTAACTAGTGTCTAATTTACATATTTAGGCTGCCTAAAATCTTTTCAAGAAAGATCATGATCTGAAAAATGTTTAAAAAGAGTAAGCAATTTTAGTTAATTTTATAATTTACAGTTATAATGTTTTAACTATCTCAGTTAATAATTTTTTAACAGATTTATGTAGAGAAAATAAAAGATAATAATCTTTAAAAGATTATTAATATTCTAAATAAAGATAACTTTTTAACAGTTTTGAGATAAAAACAAATGCATTTTTCGTAAATTGTTTGGCTTTGTTCACTAACAAATAACATACCTTTTTAGGTTGTGCAACGTTTAATGGATGGATTGCGTGCCACCAACAATTGGTGCTTTCTTTTGATTCGCATTCTTCAAAGAATAATTTCTCATGATGTTCGCTTCGTGGACCTTTAACATTCATTTCATTGCACGAAAATAGATGTTTGCTTACTATGAAGAAACTCGAAACAAGATAAAGGTAAACAGGTATATATTTTTTAGAAAGAATGTCAAACTTCGAACAGCAATTAACATTATTTTATTAGCGAAAGTGTTCTAATAGAGAGAAAATTTATGATGTTAATTTTCCAATTTTATATTAAAGTCAAAATAGAAATTTTGAGAATCTCTTTAAAACATTTTTCTATTTCTTTGTTAAAATAATTATCAAATGAAATTTTTATCCTATAAATAAGAAATAATAGTTTTTCTTAGTTAGTGGTTTAATTAATTTAGTAAACGAAATTTAATTATTTTGTTTCAATACTTGATTTCAATCTCATTATTATATAACGTTTTTCAGCACTTTTAAAAAATACTAAATGACTACATTCGAATCTATTGTTGTCGTCGTATCACATCAAATGATTATAAATCATTTTTTCACGGATTGATCAAATTCAAAAAGATTGTTATTCAAAAAAATTCAAAAGATGATATAACAACACTGACAAACGATACTTAACGCGGGTAAAACTATCCAAAGCGTTCATTCTTCGAGGCCATTGTTCTATTTATCGGTACAAGTACGATCTTGCAATTTCCTGCGAGCGAATCTCGTCTCATGATTATTTTTCTACATGATGTAGCAAGATTGGTTTTGAAATCGGATTTAAAATCTTGAAAACATTGTTGAAGCGCTTATATTTTGTTTAAATTTCGCGCAAATAGTCAAATAAGAGTAAAGAAAATTTAATATTGCATATCTTTAAAACTATAAAAATAGATTGAAAAATATAAAATATTTTATATTTTATTTGTTTTGATAAAATTTTGATAAAATTTGTTCATGATAATTACTTGCAAGAAGTTATACATAATAAATTATGAGTTATAAATATCAAAAATAATCATTCATAGATATAATTCATTTTGTTGAATTAGAACATTGTATTTATAATAAAATAATTATTTTTTTAAATATTTTATCAAACATTTATTGTTCACAGCAAGTACCGCTAGATTCATCGTAGCACATTTACTATGTGTGTATCTATAGTTACTAGTAGTAAATACCAACCAGTTGGATGTTACTATTTTACGATTATGAACTACATCGATTAGTCGGTCAAATTGATAAATTTATTATTTTCGATGCTTAATCACTGTAACATGACCGATTTTAAATAAAAATATTTTATGATTATTATACAATTTAAAAATAGTTAATATTTTCATTTACAATTTTATTGAACAAATATAAATATATATTTTTTACGAAATTTCTTAAATAATTTTAATTCGTATTTTAAAAAAATATATATTAATTTAAAGAAAATTTATTTAAAGAAATAATGAGAGAACAGTTAAATAAAATATATACATCATTATTTATATCTATCTTTTAATCTTTGAGTTTATTCTGGGAAAGATCTGGACTACTTCAAAATTAGATCTTATCTACAACAGAATTTCATCATACATTTCATTATGTAGTTGATTAAAAAGTGAAGAAATGAATAAATGTTTAATAAATAGCGAAATAAAAGGTGAATGTGGCATCTCGAGCATTCTCCGTTTCAAGGAAATCGTCGAAAGTATAACAGTAGGTTTCTCAGACCGCGTCTAAGCATCTCTCCACCTGGATGAAGAAGATTAGTTGGCGTGCTATTCCTCGAGTGTTTCGTTGCGAGTTCTGACAAACAATCTCGGGATCACTGAGTTTCAGCAGAACGGTGAACACGGGTCATCAAATGTAGTATATACTATAGGTAAGAAGGAGTAGGTTTCCTTTTTAGATTCCTCGTGGAGGGAATCGATGGATCAGTATTCGTTTGATTCTCCTGACGAAACAACAAGAACTTCGGCTTCTATCTTTTGGAGAAAAACGGATATTGTGCGACACCAGTTGATAAAAGTTACTTGTGTGTGAATCAAATTTCAACTATATTAAAGAAAATAATATTTGAGAGAAAAGATAGTGAAATTCAAATATTTTAAAATATTTTGTGGGATATGAATATTTCTAAATATTTATGAAAAAGATTCATTTGGACTGATTATTAATGGATTAGATTTATATGATGGAAATATAAAAATTAAAAATTTACCCTAAATGAATTTTAAATGAAATTTGAAAATTTTTGAAAAATTTCAAAAATACTTGAATTCTATAAAAGAAAAAGAAATTTTATAATAAAATTTAAAAAGATTTTATTTTGTATAATAAAAGAAAGCTAAGAAATTATCTTTATCAAGTAATTTCTCATGTTTGATGAATTTTAAAAATGTATCCTCCAATTGGATTGGCAATATGTAACAGATAATGCATTCACGAATGAAACGCTACGATTCTTCGGCATCGGAACTCAAAAATCATAACATGTTGAATGAATTCAGAATTCTTAGCTGACAAAACATATACTCGATGAATCGTAAAAGAATCATCCTTGTGTTCATTTTTCATGGCTTCGATAAGCCATGGATGATACATCATCGAAGAATCTTCCTCATCTTTCTATCCCTTGTGATACTCGTAACATGTATCCCTTGTTACGAAAGTCGTGGTATGTTGGAACTAATATCGTATAATATTTTATATATTTTTATTTAAAATAGTAAATTTTAAAATATATTTGTAAAAAAATTAAATTGCCATAATTATAATTTAAATAGATCGTAACGAATGACTTAATGACAATTTTTTGCAATAAAAATTTATCTATAAAAAAAATGAAAAATACAATAATTAATAAATTGTAAAATAAGATAACGGTTGTCTTAATAGTTTTTAATAATTGATAAGTGAGTTTTCCAATGACTGCAATAATTGAAGTCATTGTAGACAAAAGTATGTCTCATTTTTAGAGATCGTGATGCAGTAAGCGTAAAAAAAAAGAACAGAACAATTGAAAAAATACATTTTCGTTCGATTTCAAATTAAGAAATAGATCAAGAAAAAAAGAATTGATTCGTTAGAAATTCTAATTATTATTATCAATAATTAGATTTTTTAAAAAAATATATTAATATTTTTTTAACTTATTTATATATATATTTTATTATGTAAATTTTTAAAAAATATAAAATTTATAGAAATCATATAAAAATTATGACAACAAAGCATGAAATTAAGTATAAAATAAGGTATATTAGAAAAAATTAGAATAATTTTAGAGAGAAAACTAATTTGGTGGTAGAATAAATTTATAATGACCATAAATTATGCATGTTTCGTGCAATGAAGAGTTAATTTTGAAGATAATGTCAAACATGTGCAAATAAATTTTAATATAAAACAAGTTATTTAAATGATTTGATATAGTTAAATTATTATCATTACGATTATTATGGTTTGTTTAATAATAATTTTTAATAATTTTTAATATTATTATTTTCATTTTATTAGAATTTTTAATTTATTACTAAATATTCTTATTATAGCCAGGAATACTCCAAATACTCAGAAATTAATTAGAAATAGAGAAATATATAAGTTGTATGAAAATAAACCATCATCCAATTATATAGAAAACAATTGGAGGAAAAAAACTCTTCAATTTGAACAAAATGATGAGAGATGGGATTCAATATCTATTCAAAAGGAAAATACTTATATACATGAATTTCCATCTGTTAATTTTATATACAATAATACAAGAAATAATCGAATATTGTATGTTTGTGCTTTTTAATATCTTTTACATTTTTTATTTATTATTTAAATATTATATAATTTATTTTTATTAGCAATATTTATTTTAATAACATTATTCAATTTAAATATATTATTTTTAATTGTAAATCTTATTTCATAAGAAAAATATATAATTTTTAATTGTTTAAAAAATTTATATTATTTTAGAATGTATAATGAACAAAGTTTAACACATAAAAGATTTAAGAGAGGTGTTATACATTTATATAACATGGTAGTATGCGCTACTGGATGTAATCCTTTAGCTTATAAAGGATATGGATGTTATTGCGGTTTTTTGGGCTCAGGATATGTAATAGATGGAATAGATAGGTAAATTTTATACATAAATATATTTACGAAATATATATTTTTTATTTTTAATAAAGTTCATAGAAATAAGTCTCATAATTTAAACATTTTAATAATTTTTTTTTAGATGTTGTAAAATGCACGATTGGTGTTATGACGCTACAGAATGTCCAGTATTTTCAGGATACTTTATACCATATTATTGGAGATGTTATCGTGGTCACAAACCAGTATGCGGTTAGCTTCATTGAATGCGTTATTTTATCGATTTATAATTATATTTATTTTAAAAAATATTTTTCTTTGCATTAAAGCTGTTGAACATGGAAGCTGGGGAGGCTCTGGATCATGTGCTCAACGATTATGTGAATGTGATCGTTCATTCGCCGAATGTTTAAAACGTTATCCCTGTCCAACAACCAAAGCTGTATGCACTTCTTCACCTTGGAGACTTGTACAAAATCTTTTTATGATTATGTAATTATTGGCATAAAATTGTGAAACGGTACTTAATTACTAATATTGTGTTCATACCAAAGATAAGAAACATATTTCAGTAAGTACTGTATTTATTATGACAAAACGTACAAATATTTTTATGAAATTATAAAATCAACAAAATAATATATATCGAAATAGTTTTTTAGTTTTCATTTTTATTAGTTTTCAAAGGACTAAGCATTCAATAAGATGTTAGAAAATATAGTAATTTCTTTACATATCATTAAATAATACTATACATTTTTTTTATTTTGTAATAAAAACTTATTTACAATAGACATATTTCGTTTATTTTTGTTTTTTAATTATTTACAACATATTTATACTTCCAGTTAAATGCACAGTTCTGTTTTTATATTTTTTTGAAATATCTTGTTCGATCTATAAACAAAATAAGAAAGATAATAATACAATAATAATATAGTAATAAGATATTCGTATGCAATGAGTATTATTTTAAATACCTCTGTTTGAAGTTCCTTTGTTCTTTGTATAAGAAGTTGAAGATAAGGTCGAATAGAATTAATATCTTCACCAGAATTTTCTCGTTTTTCTTTTACATTTTTTTGTAAAATTATCATTTTTTCAACTAAGCTTAATTTTTGTTTCAATGATGAAGTTAAAACGTCTACATATCTATAAAAACAAATTCTTATTTCTGTAAAAATACTATATAAACATAATATAATATTTATATATTTTATTTACCTTACAGAATGTTTAATATTGTGTAAGTGTTGAACTTTAGTATCCAAAATTTCAGATAAAACAACTTGAACATTATCTAACATATTTTGAGTATTTTCCAATGTAGAATACTGAACAATAGAAGATGAATCTTGTAATTGACTAAAGCTTAAAAAATTTACACTATCATCCCCTTTAAACTCATATAAACGTACTTTAAGAAATGCTTCCAACTGTAAAAAAAAAAATAAAAAAAATAATTTAGAAAATAGTGTCAGAATATATATTAATCAAGAAAAATACAAAATTTACATACCTCAAATAACTGATTAATAAAATCATTTCTAGTTGATGGATTGTCGAGAACAGTATATGCTTTACTACCAGTAGCAATTCCACCTTCATGACCAGCTGCTTCTACAACTATACCAGATTCTTCTAAAGAAATATTATAATCTATATTTTCATCTTCTATAACCTCATCTATATTTTCATCACCCCAATCAATTTCACCTCCTTCTAACATTATATCTTCAAAATTTATGCCACTGTTTATATCAATTTTTCCAAAATCAATTCCCTGAATTTATGAAAATATTAAGAAAAGATTTATAATTATTTATATATTTTATAATATTATTAATATTACATACAATGTTATCAATATCTTCAATTTTCTTATTCTCTAAATCATCATTATTTAAACTTATATTTAAAGATGGTTCACTAACTGATAGTGGAGCTTCTCCATAAATCCATTCATATGTTGTAGTATTTCCTTTATCTAATTAATTTATAATATATATAGTATGTATAACAATATATATATATATTTCTTTAAATTTAACATACCAATTATATATTTTACCATAGGAACACAACCACCATCATGCTGTCTACCAAGAGTATAATTAACAAAAGCACAATAAAATTCTACAACTTTCTCTAATGATTTTATTTTTTTGGCAATTTTTTCATAAATTTCTGGAAGTTCTTTTACTTTCTCAGTTAATTCCTGTTTTATTTGTTCTCCAGGAATACCTAATTGCTTACAAAGTAAATTAAATTCTGATCTAGCAATATTTTCTGATTTTTTATAGTCAGCTTCTTTTTTTTCTAATTCCTATTAAAGAAATTTACTTATAAAAATGTAATAATATACAAAATAATATATAATAATAATAAATACTTACAACTTGTATTTGTTCTAGTTTTTGAATTTGTTTTTTAGTACTTGGAATTTCATAATTAACATTTCTTATAAGTATTTGTGCAACTTCTGCAAGATATATATTATCTTTTTCATATAAACGTAATATTTCTTGCCAATCTTTCATTCTTTGTGAACCATACCTGCCAAATACATTTTTTGTATCAGCTTCAGTTTCTTTTAAAATTTCTATTATTTTCAAGCAATGAAAATAATTGATATCTGAAAAAATATAAATTAAATTATAAATGAATATATAAAGAAATATTATAATATAATTATATATATTGTTAAATTATAAATATAATAAAATAATAATTAAACATACATGAACCAGATAATAATTTTGCAATGCCTTCATGAATAGGCATATCTTGTATTGCATTATTAATTTTTTCTCTAATTGGTAAAACCATTACATGCCAATCTTTAGTGCAATGTCTTCTATTAATTAACCATTCTAATAATTTTCCACTATTAATATCAATAGGAATATCTTGTTCCTGGAAAAATATAGCATTGATTGAAATTTAAATTGTGTAAATTAAAAATATATGTAAGTAAATATAACATTTTTATTAGCATTAAATAAATGCAATATTCAATAAAATAAAAGGCTTATGATAATTTTTAAAGATAAATATAAGCCTTGATATTTAAAAATTAAAAAATTTACCTCCATGATATGAAACTTTATACAATTTTGATAAAATTTATTTACGTCTTTTTCTTGACAGGTTATAACAGCTGTTGTTTCTTATTTTTTACTATCACCATGTAAAATTGAATATACAGATAAATTGCTCTACCGGCAATCTCAAGAATACTTACATTACGTATTTCCGTAATAATAAAATTTAAATCAATTATATTACTGTATAAAAATATATATTATATATATTATATATATTATATATTTTAATAATTAATATTAATAATATTACTATTAATAATAATGTTAATATTTTAAATAATAAAACAAATTTTCGTAAATTCTGTTTTTTAATATTTTTGTGACGTGTATTGAAAATATCGCTTTCATTATCGGATAAATATTTTCCATCATCATATCTATATGTCAATATTTATAAATAGCAGCCAGTATAGAAAAAATTAATAATCATGTATGATATATTAATATTTATTTATTGTTAATTTTATGCTTAATGATTAATTTTCTCCAAAAAAAATATCGAATAAAAAATTTCATATATTTTATTTTTAAAATATTTATAGAGAGAATTCATTATAAATTATAAATTTTTATGATTCTATAAAAAAATGTAATATATAATATATATTGAAATTAAAAAATAAAATTTATTACATTTCTAAAAATGTTTATTATTATACATATTTTTTTAATTATAGAAAATGCAAATTTTAAATTTTTTTTATTTTTTAATCAATATACATTAAATAAAATATTTATATACGTACATAAATACAATATATTAAATATATGTGTAACAATTATATTAATATCTAAGTATCAATTAAAAATAAGATGGGAAAAGTAATTATAGAAAGTAACACATACATACGCGCAAATATTCTAATTTATTATTATAGTAAGAAAAATGTCTCTCATGGCAATGTTACACTGTCAATGCCAAAATACAGTTATAACATAAAGATTTACTATTAGAAGATAGTTCAATTATTTTCACATTTTTTATTAGTGCTTATATTAGAGCAAGTACTTATTAAAAAGTTCTAACTTTTATAACTTAATATTCAAATTATTCACACATAAACGCGCATACACAACATCCTCATAATTTAGTAAACTGCAAGTTTCTGCTGCTACATTATTCCATCTGTTTGAAATTGTATTTCCAAGTCCAAAATAAACATGGACATAATACACAACTGGCCCAGTTTAACATGGCACCATAACTGGTGGAACTTGTGAAATATTAAGTATGATGATGTTTCACATTCACTTGATGGATAAATTGTTTAATTTGCGAATAAAAAAATTATTATTATTCGCAAATACACTAATAAACATTATTAACGTTTTCTCTCTGTGAAAAAGGTCCTTAAGATATACACCTGCCCCACAGATATAACTAAGATTGTAATAGTTTCCATAACGGACCATAAGAGTACACGTGTATTCAAATCTTCTGCACGTTTACGACCTTGTGCTTCTCTCAATCGATGATGTGTTTGATAATCTAAAATGCTATTTAGATTCTTGTGTACTGTTTGAGCAGAAGATTCCATCTAGAAATATTAAAATAATATTTATTACATTTTAAATTTATTTAATTCTATTAAAAAATATAAAAATAATTTATATTACCTGAGTCATAACAGTTACATGTTCTCCAAGTGATGATTGATCACCTACTCTGAAATCCATATAAACAAGTTTATGTGAAAAGGTTGAAAATTCATTGCTAAAACAAGCTTTATATGCTCCTGTCATAGATGCTGTAAATTGATGTGAATCAAATTGCGTTTTTATTTGTTTATAAATAATCTCTTTATTTGGTGCTTCCAAAATTACATCTACATCATATTGTCCACCTGTCACAACCTAAAAAAAACATTCATTTTTAAAAAAATATATTTAATTTTTTTAAACATATTGATTTTCAATATTAAATTAACAATTATAAATATGGTTATTATATTAAAGTAAATTAATTTCTCATATATTTGCAACTATGTGCTATTAAAAAAAATTTCATTTAATAAAATTATATTAATATTTATGTACCTGAAATTCAAATAATGCTGTTGCATTTTTTTCAATATCCTGATAAAAACATTGTTTCGCATTGTCAGGTAGTTCAAAGGATAGCTCGACACCACCAGTACGTAATATCGTACCAAATAGCGAAATAAATAGCAAGCAAATCGACCAGTAGTCCATTCTTCGTTAAATTTTTATTTCTTGTAGCTTATTCACATTTAAGTTTGAGAAAAATTGCAAAACACAATATTTAATTAATTGATCAAAATCGCCGCTAATATTATAACCAAACAAGCTATTTTAACGTGGCCGGATACTGTTCATGTTAATACGACAGAAGCGCCACTAAAACGGAATTGACTGCGACGACGTCAGATTTTAAAGAATGTTTTCACATTAAATATGTTTTAAAAAATTCAAAATAAATTTATTAAATAAAAAAAAAGATATACAAAGAATACGAAAATTTTTATAAAAAGATAAAATGTTTTTTAAATATCATTATCAATATTTGGAAATACAAATGAATAAAAAATTAAATTATAGAAGAAATATAACTATAATAAATATAATAACAATTTTTTTTTAAAAATGATGCAAAAAATAAAAATGTTAATTTTTAATTATTAATTATTGATTGATAATATATTTATTATTGATATGATTAAAGTATAATTTTAAAAATGTAAAAAAAATATAATTAACATATAACTTTGTGATATAATTTATTATTAGTATAATATTTATAAGTTATAAATATATATATTTAATTATCCATGAATTTAAAGAATATAAAGGATAAGTTAAAGGAATTTTAAATAATTTCCACTGCATGTATTGCATAATTCTAAAACC